AATTAGTTTCATCAGATTATTCATTGGAGAGATTGTGACAAATCAAACAGAACAATCCCCACAGGAGGGATTATAATGAGTTTTTTCTTCTTCTCTCTCTTTTTTTTTTTTTAAATAAAAACAAATAATCACTTTGCTCATACTTGAAAGCCTTTATCCACTGGTTTAGAGTAGGAGAAGGAGAATATTATACTTGAAACTGGCCATATTGTAGAACTAAAGCTGATTTCAAGGTATACTCACAGAAAAATGTTTGACTTCCTAACAAGGTGATCATCTAATTGTACTATTCAAAATTAATAGTTACTATGCAACCTTGTGTCTTTAACAACTATAGAAAAGAAAAATTTTGAAATTGAAGAGAGTTAGCTGAATAGTATCCATATTTAGGAAGCTACAAAAAAATTCAAGTCTGTAGATTAAAAAAAAATCCACAAACAAAATAAAACAAAACTTCATTTATGGCAGAAATAGGTCCTATGGTGTTTAAAAAAAAAATAAATAGCTAAGCTAGACATTGCTGGCAGAAAAGCCGACATGAGAAAAATTAAAAACAGAGCCCTTTTTATGTTACCACAAGGAGACAAAGATTCTCATCCATTTAGCCCATCTTGCATGGACTAGACCCTCCATTCTGCCTTGGCTATTAAATGCCCCCCACCCCTTTTTGTTTTGAGACAGAGTCTCGCCCTGTCACCTGAGCTAGAGTGCAGTGGCGTCAGCCTAGCTCACAGCAACCTCAAACTCCTGGGCTCCAGCGATCCTCCTGCCTCAGCCTCCTGAGCAGTCAGGACTACAGGCATGCGCCACCATGACCAGCTAATTTTTTCTATTTTTAGTAGAGACGGGTCTCGCTCCTTGCTCTGCCTGGTCTCGAACTCCCGAGCTCAAGCAATCCTCCTGCCTCAGCCTCCCAGAGAACTAGGGTTACAGGCGCCGGCCACAGCACCTGGCCTAAAATCCTCTTTAAATCCCCTGAGCTCTCACGAAACTTTGTTCTCCCAAACCATCTTCTCTGAAGTACTTCAGTCTTTCTCACACAATTTAGCTTCTAGTTTTAGGCTGTTCTTTCGTCCATTGGTTTCACATGTGCCATCGCTGCCTGTGCAGCCACACCGCGTGTGCGGAGGCAGGTGGCCGCGCGTGTACCTGTCCCACGCCCGCCTCAGGGCTGCAGCCGTGCTGAGAACCAGCAGGGCGAGAGCGGTCACGAGCTCCGCATCTCCTTAACATGACGCCTCACCTACTGACTGGCCACGCAACCTTGGGCGAGTTACTCCATATTGCTGAACCAGAGTTTTATCGCCTGTAAAATGGGGACAATAACACCATCAACCTCCTGGAGCCACGGGAAGATTGAGTGAAATAATTCACAACAAGTGCTTAGCAGAGCGCCGGGTACCCGGAAGCCCTCAGTGCACGGCAGCCCACTGCTGTTCCTTCTCCCGCAGATTTGCTGACAGTGTATGGATAATTTCGAATCTTCTAGCATGTCCAGGGGCAAAATGTAGTTTTTAATCTGAAATTAGGAAGTCATGTATTTTATATCTGCCACCTTATGCAGATGGTCTCTCCTCGTTTGGGGAATCGACTCCGTATTCCATCCATTCTTTTTTCATGCACACTTTTAATATCTTGGAACTCAGCATGTGTTTTACATGCGCTTTACAATCCAGTCTTCTAAGTAACTGAAGGATGTTTTGTTTTGTTATCTTAGAGTCAATCAAATACAGCATGAGTTTTGCTGATTCTTTTAATAAAAGAGAGAGATTTTAAAAAGAGAGTCACAGTGTTCAGATGCCTCCATCTCTTCTCAAGCGTTGCTCTTCATGCTTTTAACTCTGACCCGTGAGTGCCAGTCTCAGTGCCACCATGAATATCATTTCAATTCCTTAGACAAAAGGACACTGCTTATTTTACCATGTAAATTTTTTAAGCCATCTGATACCATTTCAAAAAGATACATCATGTCAAATTGATATCTGGTACTCCGAGGGTAGAACAATCCTGGTTGTCAGAGCTCTGTCAGAACTAAAACATCTATTTTGTCACTATTGTCCTGAAAAGCCTGAACGATGCTGATATACCTCCTGAATTACCCAGAATATTTACGGCTTTTGACTGTATTCCCAGCATAATTAAGAGTGCCTTCTTTAGCTCTCAGGAGTATCCTAGTTTGGATGATAATTTATATGATCACCCCAACATAAAGACCAAGGTAGGTCTGAAACCTGTGGTTCTAACATATCCTATATTTTAGTTTTGGTTTTTCTATTTGTAAGCCTGGGCTTCTAGTCAATTGGTCATTCCTGTGACCCAGCCAGTGTCCATTGCTTCATATTTTTGCCACACACTGGTTATATGGTCAGCACATGCCCCAAACTCACAGAGTTTACAATTTTGTAACGGAGACAGAAGTAAATTAAGTGATCACACACCAAAATGTCACAGCTCCTCAGGAGAGGTACCAGAGGCTGTGACAGCCTGTAAAACATAACACATGGCAGGTGGGGTGGGGCATGTAGACCATGCAATTGCACCTGAATCATCTTTTGACCCAGAATGATGCCACCTCAGTTTAACACAGTGTTCAAAATGTCACTCTTTGCCTTCCATTCCTTTTCCATGGTAAGGAGATATTTCAGTAGGAAGAGGCTTTGCTGAGCACAGGCACTAATTGTGGGTGGTGAAAGGATAGGAAGCAGAAAGTTAGTCCTTGGTTTCTGATTTAAAACCAAAAGGAGCACTAAAGAGTAGGGAAGAGAGAAAAGGGAGAGAGGGATAGAAAAACAGTGTCTGTAAGTTCGTTGGGGGAAAATTCTATCAAGTTTTTTTGTTGTACTTTTCTTCCTCCTCAATTCCTCTTGTTGCACAGTCCTAAGGACCTGGCGAAAATGCATCTTGCTTCTGACGACAGAGAAAATGAAACCCAAAGGAAGAAGTAACAGAGCCCAGCTTCAGACAGGGGAAGGAGAGAGAGTTAAAAGGCATTCTTAGGCCACGCTGGTTTCTCATGGCAACTTTCTCCTTTCTGGTAGCTGTGATGTCAGCAACTAAGACAGGCTGTGGGCCAGGCGCGGTGGCTCACGACTGTAATCCTAGCTCTCTGGGAGGCCGAAGCAGGTGGATCGCTCAAGGTCAGGAGTTCAAAACCAGCCTGAGCAAGAGGGAGACCTCGTCTCTACCATAAATAGAAACAAATTAATTGGCCAACTAATATATATAGAAAAAATTAGCTGGGCATGGTGGCGCATGCCTGTAGTCCCAGCTACTTGGGAGGCTGAGGCAGTAGGATTGCTTGAGCCCAGGAGTTTGAGGTTGCTGTGAGCTAGGCTGACGCCACGGCACTCACTCTAGCCTGGGCAACAGAGCGAGACTCTGTCTCAAAAAAAAAAAAAAAAAAAAAAAAAAAAGACAGGCTGTGGCTGGCAATTTTGGGGAGAATAAATGAGCATGAGGGTTTTGAGAAGGATTCCACAGATCATGTATACGAAGAGTTTCTCCCCAGAAAGGAACTCGAGGGACCAGAAAGCCAGAATGGGATAAAGAGTGCTTGAGAACAGGATTTCCAGTTATTGACAAAACACCAGGTGTGCAAATTCACTTCCAAGATCCTACGTGATTAACTGGTCTGCTTTCCATTTTTCTGTAGCCTGAAGAGCACATTTCCAATACAAATAGGCCCTTCCAAAGATGGAACATTAAATAATAACTAAGTGTGTAGGCCAAAAAAGGGTTGGTGTCGGCACAGAGAATCTATAAATTGTGATGTTACACCTTTATCCACAGGCTCTGTTCTAAGCAAGATAAAGTACAGATAAATGTCAATCGGTGATAGTCAGATATTGTATGTAGCCGATTTTTTACTAAATGAGACATAATTGTACTTAAAAACTAAGTGAATTCTTTAAGGATTAGAGATGACAGCAACAGAGCCACATGTGCTGAGTTTTCATTTACTGATGTATAATTAATGAATGCATATATTTCATATGTGTAATTAATGCAAGCTAGTATAACAGAGCTCTGACTTTGGGGTCAGAGAGACCTAGGTTTAAACCCTGGCAATATGCCATTTGTTAGCAGTATGTCCTTGGAAAATCTTTGAGCCACAGTTTCTTTCTCTATGTAACGGGGACACTATAATGAAATGGGGAGTCTTTGTTGAGTTTTGAGGATTTAGTAAGATAATGTATATAAAGTACCTAGCAATGCCTGGCTCATAGCAAGCCATCAATCAGTAGGTAGTAGCTGCTTTGATGGTGATTAGGTTCAGGATTCTTATAAATAAACTTGGGTGATAATGTCTATAAATCATGATTTTCTCATATTGAATACTAGTCTAACTATATCTGCTGTGCTCATTTATCACAGGTTATTTTAGAGATCAAATAAGATACTATATATGTAATCATCATTAAAACTACTCATTTCTTTATGAATGTAAAGTATTACCCTTTTCTCTGTATTGTCTATGTAGATTTATGGCTTCTTGCGTTATTTGTATGTCTTTACTTATTACAAATGCTCTACATGCAGGAGGTACATTGCTTTTGTTATCTCCATTTGCAGCACATACTTTAGGGATCCACTTAATATAAATTGAATGACAGCAGATGTTAGAAAGACTGAAAGTTTCTCCTCAAGGAATTTTCTTTCTTCCCATTCTATGTCTTTCCTTTTATGTGCTTCCTCCACGTCTATTTCAGTCAGTTCACTGAATAGTCATTAAGTTCCTCCATGCCACATTTTTCTCTTCTTTCAATATTCATTGATTCTGATCTTGTCATTTACTAACTGTGACCTTGGGCAAATTAAGAGCTCTACGTACTCGGTTGTTTTAATCTGCAAAATGAGGACAATCAACCTACCTAAGGGGACTGTTACAAGAATTAAATGAAGATAAAATGTCACGTTCAACCAGGACTTGCTGAATGAGCCAGGTGGTGGGTTCTCTCCTGTGCGTTCCGTGCACGGCTGTCCCCCGGGGCCCGACTGACCTGTGGATGATGCGCTGGCACTGCAGGTAGTCCAAGGCCATGGCCAGCTCGCAGATGAAGAGCTTCACCGTGTCTTCCAGGAAGCGGACGTTCTGCTGCAGGTGGTAACGCAAGTCCCCGCCCAGCAGCAGGTCCACCACCATGAACATGTCTTCCTCATCTTGGAAGGAATACCTGGAATAGCAGCAGAAGGGAAAACTCATCAAATACACTTACATGCTAAAGAGTTCCAGAGGCAAATGAGAGTCTCCAGGTCAGAACAGAGTGTCCTTGAGCTGAGAGCTCAATCTGGGAGACCGTGGTCTATCAGTAGCTCCATGACCTTAGGGCAGGCGTCCTCAAACTACAGCCCGCCGGCCACATGCGGGTGTTTTTGCCTGTTTGTTTTTTTTACTTCAAAATAAGGTATGTGCAGTGTGCATAGGAATTTGTTCATAGTTTTTTTAAAACTATAGTCCGGCCCTCCAATGGTCTGAGGGACAGTGAACTGGCCCCCTGTTTAAAAAGTTTGAGGACCCCTGCCTTAGGGCCTTGGTTTCCTCATGTGTAAAACGGGAGTAATAAGAATATGTAACAAATCTGACCATACTGAAGAATAAATAGGATAAGCATAATGTTTATTGTCATGCTTGACATATCGTAAGCACTCATTAACTGTTTGCTTACATAGCTATAAACCCCAGGAAATAAAGAGAAGCCGTTTATCCATTTATTGTTAATGATCATGTCCTAACCATACTGTAGCTGGAAGTCCATAAACTATGAGTTACAGGCGCTCCTTGAACCATTCTTGTGCCCATTTTTCCATACTAACAACTTCATTGCCCAGCAACATTATAACAAATCACGTTCCACATTGATGATAAGAAAAAGATTTTTAAAAGGACAATAAAGAAGAAAGAGCACAGCTCCAGGTAATTCATTCAGTCTTTGAAATGGGGAGGAAGGGGAGAGCTTCTCAGCAAAGGTGAAACCTGAGCGAAAGTCTGAAGGACAGTGATGATAATAATAACAACAACTAAAAAATAAAGCTAACACCTGATGTGTCTATTGAGTGACTTGGATGGGCAGGCTCTGGTGCACGCTGCAGGTGCTGCCCCGGCTCTTCCTCACACTGCCGCTCTCATGCTCCCACATACAAACGAGGAAATGCACAAACTTAAGCACCTGACAAACGGTAGAGCCAAAGGGTTCCCAAGGTGCAAAAGTAAAATTTGAAAAATAGCACGTATTCAAGCACAGACATGGGGAAAGAACCTGGGGTGAGCGGGGAAAGGGAAGTAGTTTGGATTTGCTCAAGCACCAGCTCTGATGGGGAAGCTTGTGTCCGGAGAGGAAGGCAGAGGCCCCGTCCCATGGCAGCAGTCTGTAGACGCCACAGAGCTTTTAAAGGGTTGTAAGCAGGACGGACGGTCAGACACGGGCGTCACACTTGAGGCAGCACAGGGCTGAGGGACTGAAAGAGCGAGTGAGACGCAGAGAGCAGCGCTGGCCTCTCGTATGTGCAAAGAATCGCCTGTGAAAACGCATCCCCACTGCTGTGATTTGTTTTGTTTCCCTCAAAGCACAGACATGATTTCTAGTCATAATAAAGTTCTCTGTATGCTGTTTTGAAACGTTCCTTTAGACATAATGTCACAAAGATCACATTTCAAAGTTTTATTTGAATCAAAGGATTGCGTGCCTGCCGGCAGTGCCTAGGGACGTAGAGCAATTCCCAGTGACAAATTCTTTGCTGACGAAATAAATGTAGAGTTTCAGTGGTAGGAGAACTGCACTTAGTACATTTTCTTCTTTATAATTGTCATTGCGCTAAAGGAGAAAAAGGGGCCTTATAAACAAAAGAGAAAAAAAGAAATGCAATGAGGCATTCATCTGAGGCGGTAACATTCTAATGAAGACTAACGGTTCCCAATAGTTAGTTTGATAAATAAAATTGTGTTTACCAGTGAAGACTGATTCACATAGAAGATGTCAGAAATTAAGTTCTTGGGAGAATTTAGACAGAAACACAGGAAGTGCTTTGTGAAAGTTCCAGAAACGCATGCTTGGCATTGTCTTTTGCAAAATGATATTTTTCGTCCCAGTGCAAGGACTGGCCATAGGTTTAATGGCCATCGGGAAAGGTCCATGGATCTAGGCAATTTGGCTCATAATCCTTCTAACTACACCAACACAAATTACATTCATTGTGTTTTACAGGTCTTTTAGTAAGCAACCTTGGGTTAGTTAACATGCAATCATGCCTGGGACCTGCTGTTCTCAGATAATATAACACAAAGAATCATTGCTCATAGGATGTGGGCAAGGGCTTCAGGGCTGGGTGGCAGATGGGATAGGAATGGGGAGGTACATGAGGGTTGGCACCAAAAGTAGGGAGAAGAGAGCGCTGACCACACACATAACTAGATGCCAGTGGGAACAACCTATTCAGACCGGCTTAGCATACAGGGCAGATTCAATTCACTCCCTGCCGTTGACTATGGTAAGCTACCAGATGTAGGTCAGAAACCCGGTGATAGACCAGTGGACTCTTCTGCTATTATTCCACTCAATTTCAAGTCAGGGGTGCGGACATGTTGTTTTATTAAATTAAGCCTGAATGAACAAACATTTTTACTGGGACTTGGGTTAAGCTCTTTTTATCCAAAGGACAAACTGATAAAGATGCCAGTCATAGCAAGGTAACAGCAGAGTTCAAATGTGCAGAGGATTACTGATCAAAGAGGCCCAGGCAAGGAGCAACATGTTTCTCTTGGCCAGTATAAATATAAGTTTAGTTAATCGTGGTGGCAGGTTTGGCTGTTAAAATCGTCTTTCTCATTCAGCACATCCGATCTGAAGCCCTCCATCTCAGATTCTTAACTCAGAGGGAGAGTAGAACAAATATTTATTTTCCAGAACTTTACCCAGTAAAATACGTGGGCGTAACACAATGGAGTGATAACTAGAATGTTCGAGCTCATCTCATAATCTGGGATTTTTTAAAATAAAAAAGTAAGAGCTTCCTTGTACCTCCACCATTTATCACATAGACTCACTGTTGCCTTTCTGTAACTTTTTTTTTTTCTATATATATACCATATCACAGCTTATTTATTTCTTAGTTGACAGTTCCAAAATTAACAGGCCCGGTCCCAGTGAATGTGAAATTCATTGCTAAATGTGCTCAGTAAGAAAGGAGATAACTAGCCAAAGATCAGCACCCTGTTCCACCCCACTCCATCATGCCTGACCCAGACCACTGCAGTAGGCTATTCATAGCTCTCTCTGCACAATCTTGCACCTCTCCAATCCATTCTCCGCAATGCAGTTATCTTTTTCAAATGTGAGTTTTATCATGTTATCCAGCCTCAAAACACCCTTCACTTCTTTCCATGGTCGACAGGGACACATTTGGTCTGGCCCTGTTTATTTTTCCGGCCTTAACCTGAAGATCTTTTCCTTCCATCATCCAACCCGCGGTTCGTGCCCCCTCCAGACGTAGAAGCCTGTGACCGTGGCGTGACCTGGGCCTGCACTCACGGTGCTGTCCGGGGCCTGGTTATACACCCTTTTTCATCTTTCCAATCTCAGCTCAAGTGTCACTTCTCACAGCAGACTTTCCCAATCAATACTCCCTATTAAATCTGGTCCCCTGTGACATGCAATGCCACATTCTTATTACAGGATTTGTCATAATTTGGAACCGTTTTCCTGTATGCCTTCGGACTAACTCCTTTTATTCCCAATATGCCATCACGTTGCATGCTTGTGCTTTTACTCGCTGTTGGTGCCTCTATGCCTGAAATATAGACTGTACAAATAGTTGCAGAAAAAAATAATAAGTCAATAAATGAACTAAATGAACTAAAGGAGACAAGCAAGGTTAAACCATAAGCTTTGAGTGGGTCTGATATGAATTCCCCAGGTTCTACTTTTAGAGATTAGCATGGTTATCAAATAAGTCAGAAGAGGGACTATGAGAGAGAGAGCTTGAAGCTCCCTCAGAGAGGCCATCAGGAAACAAACCTGACTCTGAGAGTTGGAAATCTAAAATACTCTCTGATGCAGTGTTTTTCAAATTGCCAGTCAAAATCCATTAAGGAGTTGTAAAAGCATTTTGGTTGGTTGTAACAAGCATTTTTTAAAAAAAAAAAAAAAAAAATAAAAAAAAAGAAAAAAAAAAAGAAAAACGTAAAGCCAAAAAAGAACAAAAAAAACTTTAATTTTGAAAAATTAAAGGGAATCCGGGAAGGGAACCAACGGGGTGGGAAGAAAAAAAAAATTCCTGGTAAGAAGTGCAAAAAAAAAAAAAAGCATGAAAACCGTGGCAGTAGGAGAACCTACTTCCTATTGCAGAACTGTTTTGCCAAATCCTCATTCAGACTCTACCTGAGCAAGGGTCAGCTCTGATGTTCCCGTCTAGCAAAGCAAGGAAAGGTTGTCCTAGGCACTAAAACGACAGAACAGTTAATCTGTGATTTTCAGACTCTGAACAGGGAGGGCTCACGGCAGGCTTTTCACAGCTTAAGAGAAGCATTAGCCCTTGTGAGAAGAGGTCCCCGAGGCACAGGCTGGGAGGCAGGGAGGGTACACTGCCTCAGTAGGTAAGGACAAATTTAAATTTTAAAACCTTTCTTTGGAGTCATGACAACCCATCATATTTCTGTTCTTATGGCTCTGTAAGAATTTTTTAAGGCGTATCTAGTGCGAAATTAATTTTAAAAACCCAATATTATTCACATAATTAATTCACTCTGACAACACAGAAAACCCAAGGTTTGCAACAGTCGGATTTCAACAGCCTATAGAAACAATACCCAGTTGTGTTTTTGTTTTCATTTTGTTTTGTTTTCAACTGAAATGTACAATGTGACAATATGAGGTAAAAGAAAGGTTAATGGCTTGGATAACACTTAGACCAAGTTGAGACAACAATCCAAATTCTCTCTAAATTTAGAGGGAGACAAAGAAGAGAGATGTGGGGTCCTTTCAGACGCTGAATACAGCCCAATAATGGGAGAACTTCCATCATCTGTGACCCAGAGTGCCATATTTCTTCATGGGATCACAGACCATGAGAACTCAAGGTCACCTTCAGAGCACAGTGTCAATAATAATAACTTCCCTTTTAATTGTGCCTATTACTGGGGTTTTTGTATATATCACTCATTTATTCATCCAACAATCTT